CTCTCTCTCTCTCTCTCTCTCTCTCTCTCTCTCTCTCTCTCTCTCTCTCTCTCTCTCTCTCTCTCTCTCTCTCTCTCTCTTGTAAATAGCGAAATTGGAGGATTGGAGGAAAGAGGAAACACCATGAAAATTGGAACATTTTTTCAAATCATTTTATGTTCAAAGATTTTTTTTTTTGGTTCCCTCCTTCCTCCTCCTGTAAATGTTTTTTTAGTAACAGTTATGCTAACGCCGTTAATACTGAGGTGATGATTGTTTCCATTAGTTTTTGGTTTTTAGATTTTAGGTTTTTGTTTCCGGCTTTCAGCTTATGGTTTTTAGAATTGGTTTTTGATTTTTCTGTATTATTAGGTTTTCAAACAATAATCAATAGCTTGTTTTAAAATAACAATAAAAATAATGAAATATTTATAAGTTATCACTAAAATTTATCAAAATATAGTGATTGTTATTTAAAATAAAATGCATTAACATGTTTTTAATTATTTTTTTTTAAATATTATACTAAAATATAAACAAAAAAAATCTAAAATTATAAAAATTAAAATATTTTAAAAAATTTAAACTATTTATAAATTTTCTTATATGTTTTATATATATTAAAACCTGAAGGGCTATTTTCAAATTAATATTATAAATTTTATTAATAAAATAATTAAGTTTTTAAAATTATTAATTATTTTAGTGTGTCTAATAATTATTACAATTATTCAATGAATTTTGATAGAAATTAATAACTTATTTTTATAGAAATTAATATCTAATTGTTTACAATTAATTAATGTCATATAACAATATCTAATTTACTGACATAAATGTAACACAAATAAATTAAGGTGTGAATGATATAGTATATACAAAGAATTGTATGGATAATTTATCTTTATGAAAATATTACTTATTTAACTAAAATAAAGATTTTTTTACAAAAAGAATGAAATTCGTTTGTATTAAAAACCCACAAAAGTTGGTTTTTGGTTTTTCTTCACAAATTGGTTAAAATTTGAAAAACTAGTTTTTTAAAATTTTAGGGAATCTATTTGTTGAAAAACTTGATTGGCAAGAAAAATGGTTTTTACAAAAGCAAACCAAAAACAAAAACTTGATTGAAAGAAAAATGATTTTTGGAAAAATAAAAACCAAAAATTAAAACAAAATCCACAAACAATCAACCCCTGACTGAGTCTTCTGAGACAGAGAGAGGAACAGTCTGAATTAAAACAGAAACATTACGTTTGGTTTACTACGCTTTATGTTTTGGTTCTGGTTCGGATTTGATATCATTTTAGATAAATCTAACTTTGGTTTTGTTAAAACTAAAGAAAATCCAGGTTTAGACGAACAGTTTGAATACGGCTTGGCTGAAACCGGATTGAACTTTCTGTACGAAGTTAAACCAGGTTTAGTGTGCTCCATAATCACTTGAACAACATAGTCCTAAGACTCCTAACATCCCTTGATTTAATAACAGCAAATCAAAATGTCTTTCTCACCAAAAGAAGAAGATTGCCTCTAGCCTTGACAATTACACATAACTAAGAAGTCTGGCTCTCGAAAATACATTTTATCACACAGCCTAAAACTCTCTACCTGAAAGGTAACAGAACACAAACAAGAACCTCCAAATACCATTTGAGTCACTTCACCGTCCACTTCTCTTGTCATGCCTGCCCATTGTTTTCTCCTGAACCACAAATCAATAACTGTTTTGAATCCAAACTCAATCGTAGAATCTCTTACAAGACATACAGCATTCAATGACATGGTCTCATCACTTTGTCGTCATGTATCTGTTGTCTAAAACTTCCTAGCTTGACTCTATCAGGCTACTACTAATATACATATGTGAAAAGATATTATACATTTTCAATTAATAAACGCTTCAACCTTCAAACTAGTGCGCTATATTATGCAAACATTCGAGCATTAACGAAAATATTAGAAGCGGTACACAAGAAGTTAAAACACACAGAGAGGGCGATGAAGCATTTTTTGCCTGAACCATACCTGAATCAATGCTACAACTAAGAAGGAACAGGTAGCACTGCTTCCTCCTCGCCTAAAGACACAACATAAGGCTGAACTTTGAACGTCTCAGTGACTGTAAAGCTGAGCTCGTAATTTACAGTCTTCGTCCCAAATATGTTGATCCTTCTTGCACTCTTGTAAGCTACCTCAGCATCAGAACCCTTCCTAAAAACTACTCTAGCCCGTTTCTTCTCCGTGTCAACCTCAGTTTGGGAATCCCTTATCGGTCCAAAATGCCTGAACATTTTACTCAGGCTCTTCTCAGGAGGTATTGTATCTGTTTCTGAAAAGTTCATTATAAGCTCAGCTGGTGCATTCTCATCAAAGTCTGATGGTTTGTCTGACGCTGGAGTAAGAGGACTCATGATCTGTGACTGCCTTCTTCTGTATGGTCTGCGAGTTCTTTTAACCTGAGCAGGTTCCAACTCAACCGGCACAACTTGATAGTGTTCCTTTTCAGTAGGTGGCGTTTGCTCTTCACCACCGTTATGGATCACCCTGTCAGTCCAGTACGTGTCACCCATTTCCTCAAACTCAAATGCTTCGGTTCCTCCTGCAGGAGAATTGGATGTTCTAACTCTTTTCCTGCTTGCCTTTTCTGGAATAAACTGCTGCGACGCCGTTGACTTTCGGAAGCCTAAGAAAAAGTCATAAGCAGTTTCTGATATAACGTTCTCTTTATCAGGTTCTGTTGCTGCACAGTGAAGCTGGGATACAAAACTCTCAACAGAAAGAGTTTCATCACCTAAGTTACTAGCCTTCAAAACTGAAGGAGGTCTTGCCATCTGACTAGCAGCTCTGGCTATGCCTTCACCGATCTTAAAGGACGGCCTCTGTGCAAAAGACACCTTCGCCAATGAAACAGTCTTCCTACCTTCACCTAGTGAATCCTCACTCAAGACATCAGCCTTTCGTTTCACACCATTTGTTTTTGTATCAGAATCATCATAATCAAAGTTGTTGGGATTTTCCTCCATTACTGTATCTTCCTGTTGGTTTGGATCGTTACTTGGAACTTCATGAGTTGTGTCATCTTCCTCCCTCCTTGTATCTTGTTGATCTACTGCTTTCTCATCTGAGCTTTGATGATCCTTATCGTTTTGGTTTTCTTCAGATTCCATAATTGCATCAGAAACCTCTTTCTGACCCTCTGTAGCAACACGGCCTTCATTTGATTCATTTTCAACACCTGCAGCAGTTGAGCTTAGTTTATCACGGGTCCCAGCGTTTACTGTAACACCAACTGATTTAAGGCCCTCGTTGCAATCCTCTGCGGCAACTTCGTCTGCCATGCCAGTAGCTTTCTTGTCCTCTTTTAAAGATACATTCCCTGACCAAGATGATACACCACTGAAGTCAATGAAGCTGGTAATATCAGACCTTGGATCAAAAAGAGCATTATCATCCAATGGTTCAAGTTCACTTGGAGCAGCATCTTCAGTGGAACTGTTTGGGTTAGCCATATCAGTATTATCTTTCCCCACATCATTTTCCGTTTCCTTTACTACATTGGACTCACTCCTCTCAGCTTCAGCTATCGGAACATCTTGGGTAGCAGTAAATTCATTGCCAGCATTATCCAAACCATCCTTTTTCACCAGCTCTTCTGCAGTAGAATCGATTTCCATAGCTTCTCTGTTTTCTTCTTTTTGATTAACATTTTCTAATTCTTCTTCAGCAGCAGAGCTAACCTCTGGAACTTGTACAGATTCTGAATGCTTACCATCTTTGGTCTCAGATCCAACGTTCTCTTCATTAGCCTGTTTGCTACCAACATCCATTCTGGTATTATCCTCTTCACTTTCATTAGCTGATTCCTTCTCTTGGTCAGCTTTATCTTCTGCAGCAGCAGAAAGCGTCTCACCACCGGCTAAAATTTTCTGAGACTTCTCAGTTTGAACATTTTGTTCGGTATCAGAGGTGGTGGCATCAGCATCATCACCACCATCTCCAACTTCACATGTTCCCTTCTCATCACCAACTTTATTCCCAGCAGAGATTACAGTCTCCTCACCTCCTCCTCCACTTTCACAACTTCCACCATTAACCAGCTTCACCTCAACACCTCCACCATCACACTCCGCTTGACTTCTCTCAGCTTCAGGCTCTGTCAAAGGATCATGCTTTTCAATATCATGAGAGCTAACTATCTTGCCTGAACCTCCATCAGAGCTAACTACAGTCTCCTCTCTTCCTCCTCCACTTTCACAACTTCCACCATTAACCGTCTTCACCTCAGCATCTCCAGCACCTCCGTCACACTCATTTTGTCTTCTCTCAGCTTCAGGCTCTGTCAAAGCATCAGTCTTTTCAACATTTGGGGTTTCATCCAAAACCTCTACAGTGTCAGCATCATCCTCAGAACCTAGGGTTTCAGTTTTTGAAGCTCCCTTACCATCTTCCTCCTCCATAGACTCTCTGACATCACCAACAAGCTCAGTCTCCTCTCTCTGTTCCTCCATTAGAACTATCTTCTTGAAAAAAAAAAGCTCAAATTTGACTCAAACACGTAGAGAAAGCTGAAATTGAGGAAGAGGGTAATCACAATATGCAAGAAAGGTTAAAGATTTAACAACGGGGAAGCTGAAATCGACGGAAAGTTTACCTCTTTAGATCTTCCAAGAACTGAAGAAAAGGTTAGGGCTTTGGGTCTCTCTCAGGTACAGAGAAGAGTGTGGAGAAGAAGATTTGAGTGAAGGGCACAGAGAATTCGTCACTCGAGCGTGTTAGCAAACACTATAATTTTTCTTCTTCTTCGATACGAAACATAACAAAAGAGAATCTACTCTCCGTTGGCTGTTCATGGCGATGATGATCCATTTGATCGACGGTGCTGATCTGTCCACGTTACAATTTTCTCACTTTTATTTTTTGCTCTTACTTAGATAAAAGAAGTAAAACCTTTAAAAAGTTGAAACACATTCAATCACTTCGATGGCAGCTTGAAATTTTAAAATCAATGTTCATTTAAGTAACCTAATAGCATCATTATCCCAGTAATTCAAAAATGAATTGCTTAAAAAAGTTTAAAAAATAATTAACCGCAGATCGCTGCGTGTCACTAAAACCCACAAACAATGTAAGAAACACTTTAAATCAATTGCTTATTTTAACACATTTGAAGATGATTATTTATGTTTTGAGTGGAGTCCACACAGAAAAAGTGACTAAGCAACCCACCAAAAATATGGGATAATAATATTCTAACATGGTTGAATCCTGGCACCTAAGTCTCCCACTTTAATGCTCAAAATCAATTAGCCTTAGCAACCATTATTTATAGCATTGTTCTAACATCACTTGGTTTAGGCTTCGAATGGTAAAAGCAGTTCAAGCGGTGCAGATCAAACAGATCAAGCGGATCATGCAGGAGAGATGCAGATCAAGCAGATTATGCAAGAAAAATGCAGATCAAACGGATCAACTAATTTATTATAATTATGAATGGCAAAAACGGTTCAAAACTGTAAATCACATGTTTAAATATAAAAATAACATCAAATATCAAAACACATTATATATAAACAACACTCAAACAAAAGAAAAATAATTTAATGAATTATTTTGCTTTATCCATAAATATATGTAATATTAATAATAATTACATTCATAATTATAAGAATTTTTGAATAATTATTAAAAAACTAGTAATACTTATAGAATACTGTTTAAAAAAATTGTTCATATATATATATAGGGGATATATTTACTTTTACTTTTGTTTTACACTAACTATATAAATATTTTATACTAAATTTAGTTTTATGAAATTACTAATGTAAAATTTTTGTTTTTACTATGTATGAATTAAAATCTATTTTATTTTATTTTCCAATTATAATTATATATTATATAAATTTCAGTACAATAAACAAACTCTATATCAAAACACGAGACCCCTTTTAAAATATAGAACGAATAAATAATTATATTTATAGATAATAATTTAATATTTTTGGAATTAATTTATTTTTAAAAAAATATTGATTAAATGGAAAATGAAACAAACTAACAGCATCAAAATAGGAGTGGCTGAAAATGCAGGCAAATGAACTGTTTTTCTGCAGTAAAAAAAAAATATATATATATATATATATATCTACCTTTCATTCATAGACTTAGTAACAAAAAGTCAGACGTGAGGACTATCTCTTTGACCTTGACAATATCTGATGATACTCTAGAACGCTGCAAAATTACATGTTTTCTACTATTACATTGCCTGCCTAAATCTCTCTACCTTAAAGGTTACAAACACCAAATTCCACTGATCCACTTCACAGTTTACTTGATGCATGCTCATTGTTTTCAATTTTCATTATGAATCTGCTAATGAAGGTTATAGATTCGGTCAAGAAGAAGAAACTTACAATATTGTAGCTACTCACGATATTTTGGCGGATTAATCTTTTAATATGCTAGTTTCAACAGTTCACATTCTTTACATTTCTTCTTAGCGGTTTGGTCGGTAGTAGGTATTTGGTTTATTGCTTTAGGTATTAGTATTATGGCTTTCAACCTAAATGGTTTCAATTTCAACCAATCAGTAGTTAATAGTCAAGAATGTGTTATTAATACTTGAGCTGATATTATTAACCGTGCTAACTTTGGTATGGAAGTTACAAACACCAAATTCCACTGATCCACTTCACAGTTTACTTGATGCCTGCCCATTGTTTTTAATTTTCATTCTGTTTGAGTCCAACATCAATGTAGATACCATAAACGACTTTTACGTATACGTTAAGAAAAACACAACAAGCAAAGACAGAATAATTATTTTGTTGTGATGCATAACTTAACTTCCAACTTCCAAGCTTGAATGTACAAGGCTTCCATCATTTTGTTGTGGTGCATAATGGGTGTTAGTTTCCGTATATGTGCAATTTTATTTTTTCTATAGTTACTTTAATCAATTTTTTTCAATATTTAAATTTATACTAAACTTATGTTCATGATACATGGCATCAGTTCTAGTTTTTAACCAATTTTTTTTTTTTTATAAAATTCATATATTACCACAATGAATAAATTAAACCCTATCAAATTTCTATTTTCTAGAGAATTTTGGACAACTAAGATATTAAAAATCTTTCATATTCATCCTATATCGGTGTTGGATGCAGCTATGCATAAATAAAAAATTCCATATTTTCTAATTTATTTTGAAATCTGTAAGTTGATCCTTACGAAAAGTTCGAGTTTTCCGATTAATACTATTTGTACTTAAATTTAGTCTTTTTAGTGTTGTATAAAATATTTAACCACATTAAAAATTTATACTAATATATCCTAAATTTATTTGTATGGTCTATGGAAATCAGTTTTAATTTTCCAACGAGTAATTTAATAAAAATTTATATACCACATAAATCAAAAAATTAAACCCTATGAAATCTCTATATTCTGGAGAAATTAGAACAACAAAGATGTCAGAATGCATATATATATATATATATATATATATATATATATATATATATATATATATATATATATATATATATATATCTTCATCCTATATATGTGTTGAATGCATATATGAGTTAAAGGAAAAATACCATATTTTCAAATTTATCATGCAATATTTGGGTTCACCCCTATATAAACATCGAGATTTCCAATAAATGCTATATACCGAAGTTTAAGCTATTTCATGTTGGTTAAAAAATATCTAATCACATTATACATTTTTATTAATGTATGTTAAACATATTTTCATGATACATGGACATTGTTTTCTAATATTTTAAAGAGTAATTTAATAAAACTTCTTATTCCACCTAATTATGTGAAATCACCATGTAAAATATGTAATTTCTATATAAAATGGACAAATAAGGTCGCAGACCTATTTAATTTTCATTATACATCACTGCATGATGTAATTATGCATTAAAACAAAATATCATATTTTCTAATTTATCTTACGAAAATATCCAATTTTTCCAATAAATGCTATATATACTAAAGTTTAGCCTCATCAATCTTGTTTTAAAAATAACTAACCACACTCTAAATTTATATTCATGTATGCTAAACATATTTACATGGTATATGAGCACCATTTCTAATTTTCCAACGAGTCTAATATGTTCTAATTAGTTGACTAACCCCTATAAAATCTTTATTTTCTAGAGAAACGGGAACATCTAAGGTCTTAAACCTCTTTAATCTTCATACTAGGTCATTGCATGATGCAACTATTCATTAAAACAAAAATAACATATTTTATTTATTTATTTTAAAATATGTGGGTTAACAACTATAAAAGGATTGAATTTTCTGATAAATGCTATCTATAAAAAGTATTTCACTTAGGTGGAATGCACAACTTTTGACATTAATTGAGATTGCTATTATTAATATATTATTAAAAAAAAACTAAAATGTATTAGTTTTAAAAATTATGTTTTAGATTATTGAAAATAAGTATGCTTTTTATAGAAAACTGAATTCTTTTTGTTCAAGAATTGTGTTTCTTCATTATAAATAAATTTATGTCTTTTCACGAAAATGAACTTTATTATTTTTAAGAGCTGTGTTGCTTCATTATAAATAAATTTATGTCTTTTCACAAAAATGAACTTTATTATTTTTAAGAGCTATTGTTCAATAATTGTGTTTCTTCACTATAAATAAATTTATGTCTTTTCACGAAAAAGTTACAATCTTTTTATTTTAAGATTGTAACTTTTCAATTTAAGAGTTGCATTGTTTTAAACAAACAAAGCCATCAAAGTATAAAAGTATGTATCTTTTCATTTTGACAATGTGTCTTTCATCCTAAAAATTGCATTGATTTTAAAAGGTTGTCAAGATGACTTTTTTTCTTTTTTGTCAATCTGGTCACTTTATACCGAAATCCTCAAACTAAGGTAAGGAGGGGTCAAACTCCTAACGCCAGGATCCGAAGGGAGAGCTCAGTTGCCATTTGGCTACGAACGACCCAACAAGGTTGTCAAGATGACTAAATGCAATTTTTCATTCTAACATTGTATTTTTTATCTTAAGAATTATATTATTTTAAAATAAATTGTCAAAATGCAAGAGTATGCAACTTTTAATCATAACCATGTGTCTTTTTATCCTGAAAATTGCATTGATTTTAATAAATTTGTCAAAATGTCTAAAAATATATCTTTTTATCCTAAACATTTCATAAATTCAAAATAAGCGGTCAAATGTATAAATATGTCTTTTCAAGAAGAATTGGATAGATTAACCATAGATTGTTAAAGATTTAAGTGAATACTAAATTTTGACCCGCGCTTTTAAAGCGCAAGATTTTTTCAATTTGAAATTTAATTTAACTTTTAATATAATAATATGTTACTGTAAATATTATAAGTTTCATATTTTCTATTTTCTTATATTTATGGATTAACTATTATTTGGATTTTTTAGTAAATTATTTTAATTGTATTTGAGCTTGTGAATTAATTAAATTATTAAAGCTCAATTTCGATTAGTTATATTTTCGTTAAACGGCTATTATATTACTCACTAGTGGTGTGTCCGCGCTCCGCGCGGTTTGTTTGACATTTGAATTTTATATATTTATAAATCATTTTGTTTGATTGTTTATTAATTTTCTAAATAATTTTTGTTAATGAGAAAGCTTAACATGTATGACATATAGGAATTAAAATTTTGGAAAAAAATGACATAAAAATTAAAATTTTGGAAAAAGATGGCATAGACAAATTAGTATAATATTAATTGTTATGTGGACAAAAAAATATAATTGTTATCATAGAAGAGCGATATAAATCTCATATTAAGTTTTATACCTAGTTCATAGTAGTTGCTTGATTTTGAATTTTACTATTGATGTATGAAAGTGAAAACGGGCTTCAAATGAATATAGGAACTTAATCATTTGCTTGTAATAGTAATCTTGTTTGGATGGCATATTACTATAGATTTAGCTGTCTATAGAGGGGTGAGGTAACAGCCGAGTGGCTCTAATTGAGAATTTCTATTATTGCCTAGCCACTTATTAAGTCATAGCACTGTGTTTCTAGGTTTGTCATATTTTTCCTGTAAATTTTTATGCTATAGATTTCTGATACGATAAGTTACAATATCTGTACCACATAGTGAAAACACACATAAACGCACAAACGTAAAACAATATCTTTATATGCATACTTTTGGGTGTTTCTAATGACAGAGTAATGTAGACCCATGACCATGAAGAAAAAAATACAGAAGAATAAAGTCAATAAGAAAAATGTTTTGTAAATGCATATTGTTCTTCTCATGAAAATGCTTGTCAATACAAACCTTTGAGTCTGTAGAGATACATATTAAAATAACATTTGTCTCAAACATTTGCAGGGTGTCTCAGACACAACATTTCGTAGCTAAGTGCATCTCTGTTTTATATTTGTGGCCTGTGAGCACTTTTGCTCGTAGTTTTAAACCTGAGTGGCCTCCCTAGGTATTTCCTGTAAAGTATGGAAAGATAGTGAGGATGGTACATATTGTTATTTTCTATGAAAGTTCATTACGGGAAGAACTAAGCTGTTACTTACTTGTCCTCAGATTACAGAATATCCCTGCCTCCTCTCTGAAGCTTCTTCGAACATCCTAGCACCAATATAACAACATCATTTCTATGTCTGAATTCCAGTAACTTTCGCGTACAGAGGAACTCAATAGAACACCAACAATTAGAATGGATAACTTAAAGAGTAACTTTAGATAGACTTTTATACGTTGACCTGAGGTTCAGATGTGATAATGTATCGGTTGAGCTCAGAAATGGTGAGAGTTTCTATTTTATGCGCATGAGGAAGCTTAGATGAAGAGACAGTCTAATTTGTGCTATCCCCAACCATTCTGCAGGAAGATAAAAGTGACAGGACAGAAAATGTAAGAGGAAGTCATAGACCAATAAATTGATGCACACGATGTGGTGGATATGTAATATTAGTTTCAGAGTGACGTACTTTTCATAGTGGTCTTTTCCAACATCAGTCTTAGAGTCAAAGTAGATATGGATTCCAGTTGTCGCAGTGAGAAATAACTGGCCTGCATAATGGATTGTTAGTAAATGGAAATGCACACCTCTTCCAGAAGAGGAATCATCTCAGCATTAATTCCATGTGAGCAGGTAAAGTTGGAGTGGAAGCTGCAGTTCCTTCAACCATCTCAACAACATCAAGCCCACCGTTGGTCTTAGGGACTTCTCTGGTCGCACCATGAGAAGCCTTAGTTTTCACAGATCCAGCGCCATGGTTCCTCTCTGTGCATAGACAATTTAAAAAAAAATGGAGAACTAAATAAAGTGAGCCGAGTACACATATAGACAATGGGTGGCACTTACATGTTCCGCAAAGTTTGTTAGGGGTTGACGTTCATTGTCATCAAAGATCCTTGCTATGGTAAAAGACTGATCATGATGTTTAAAAGAGAAGTTAAGATTATTTTGATATCAAACTATTGGTATTATTCTCACCGTTGCCACAAAGATTAGCAATAGCTTTAACCATGCGTAAGGTGTGCGGATCCTCTGTATATGCAGCTATTATAGATAGCAAGCTCATTCATCCAGGTCTTAGATCACTTGTTGGCTCACTTCTGTTACCCATCACCAATAACAAAAAAAACTGAAACTCATAAGCATAGTATTCCACCAAGTGTATAAGAAAAATAATCGTAACCACTAATTAGTAGTCAACTGTGAAATATACCGTTCATTGATTGACAACTGCACCAGCAACAACTCTTAAGACAGTATCATCATATCTTTTGAGTTTACAAACGATATCAATCTATGTGTTCAAAAAAAAAAAAAAACGATATCAATCTATTAAATACACAGGCACAACTCCTTTCGCCTCCAGAATCCAAACCCTAGAGATAAAGAATTGAGCAGACAAAAAGGGATTATGATGCTATGTGGTAGAAATGGATTAGGTATCACGATTAATTTAAAGATGAGACCAAACCCACGTACCAAAACACGAAGCTATGATGCTTGGATGGTCTAAACCGGAGATCTCTTTGCACTGATCTTCTGCTAACAAGTAATTCTGATTTGGCCAGCGTCAGTTTATCATCCAACTAAATCAATGCTTCTGAAATTAGTAGATCTTGTAATATATGGCTTAGACGAAGATATGAAAACCCATAAGACAAAGAGAAGAAGAAGAAGTAGAAGAGAAGGCATATCTTACCATTGACATGTCTGTTTCTGCCATAATTGTAAGAAACTCAGTCCTGTAGGGTCTGCCAGAGAATCATCTAAACAGAAGAAACCAAAATCATCTAAACTCAAACTCTCTAAATCAATAGTCACGAAATAGTTTGATGAGTATGACTTTTGCGCCGAAATCACCTCTGGATCAAGGAGGAGCATATCAACGCACATGAGTTCACCGCCTTTCTTAATGTTAAGGGCTTCCAATAATCAAATGAGTCTTGTCTGAACCATTTTTTTGTAGCTGAGGGGATGAAAAGAATTGCAGAAAAGTACAACGTCTGGAATCGGAACAGAGTAAAAGAACGGTACTTACGCTTTCACGTTTAACTCTGATATAAGGACGTTTTAATGCATGTGGATGTTACAGAGAGATGACTGAAGTTTTAGTTTCTGAAAAAAATTCTGCTACCGAAGGAGGAATGTGAGAAGACGGAGAACCTATTTTCGATGGGCTTGATAATAGGATATGCAAAAGCCCAACCAAAAATGTGGTTAAAAGTCCAACCCAAGCAAAACTTCAAATCAGCAGACATTAAATCATTTCGTAGAATCCACGTGGCATAATTCGCCCACCCCTCTTTTGCTGAGTTGGATGGCTTAAGAAGGGAGATAAGTAAACTTTATTTATAAAGATTTTTGATTAGTTAAGTAAATGGTCTGCCCTGTGTTTGATATCATTTTTATATATTTATATGTAAATATGTGATTGTTATCACTACTTAGAATTACTATCATTTAGTTTATTGATCGTTACTATTTTTTGATATGCTATTTATTTATTTTTTCCGCAAAAGTTTTTATAGCAATAAAATGTATGTTCTTTTGAAATTTTTTTTTTATATGGATATATTGTTACCATATAAAAATTAATACCTTATTTAAAATTGTAATGTATTAAAGTATTCCCAAAGTGTAGACCATTAAAGTAGCCCCAAACTGAAATTTTGTAAAATATTAAAGTATTCGGTTGGAATAAAGTGTTTGTGTTGAGTTCATGGTTTTAACTCGCGAGTTCGTCGGAGGAGAAAAAGAGAAGATCGTCTGAGATCCAGTTTGTTATAATTATGCCCATTTGGTTTTTTAAAAAAATATCTTAAAAATATCCAAATTATTCTGAGTATTACCGAACCAGTTGGAATATATGGTAACTATTGAAATAATTGATTTTATTATTTACGGTAATGTCATACCATTGTAAATATCTAAAACACTAAGGGCGGAATCCTATGAGGGATTCTGCTTTAATAATATAGATTTACAATTGCAAAAGTGATCATTACAATTGTTTGGTAAACAGTTGCAACTGATTAATTGATTAAATGAAACATTCCAACGATTGATGAATGAACCATTGCAATTTTGGTGGTGATTACAATTTTTAATGATATATTATTGTGATTTTTATAATGTAACTTTTTGAATTTTTAAAATAAGTATTGTAATGTTTTGTTATCAACAATTGCAACTTTTAGTCATTTATATAAGGAGTTCTACGCATTAACAAATAGAAAACCACAACAATCATTTTATAATCATTTTATGCTCAAAAATGTTTCTCTTTTGGGGTTCCCTCCTTCAGTCTCTGTGACAGAGAGAGGAACAGTCTGAATTGAAACAGAAACGTTACGTTTGGTTCAATACGGTTTATGTTTTGGTTCTGGTTTGAGATCACTTTAGATAAATCTAGCGTTGATTTTGAAGAAAACTAGAGATAATTCATGCTTAGACAAATAATGAGATATGAAAATCAAATCCTATCAATCCGGTTTTCACAACAATTTTGAATACGGCTTGGCTGAAACCGGATTGAACTCCCTGTGAGTGTGAGAAGGTAAACATGATTTAATGCTCCAAAATCACTTGAACAACACACTCCTAACATCACTTGATTTAATAACAGCAACTAAAATGTCTTGTCACTCCAGATGTCTTGATTTAAGAACCAGAAAGAAAAGATTGCCTCTCTAGCCAGGACAATCACACATACCTAAGAACTCTGGTCTCAAGAAACTACATTTTATTACACAGCCCTAATAAATCTCCACCTAAAAGGTAACAGAACACAAACAAGAACCTCCAAATACCATTTGAGTCACTTCACCTTCCACTTCTCTTGTCATGCCTGCCCATTATTTTTACCTGTAACACAAAATCAACAACTGTTTGAGTCCAAACTCTTTACGACATTCAAAGACACGGTCTCATCACTATGTGGTCATGCATGTGTTGTCTTAAACTACCTAGCTTGAATCTACCAGGCTACTATACACATATATCCAATTCTTCTCGGTTTAACACTCAGCATATGTGGAAATGTATACAACTTAGATATTAACAACACTTCAACCTCATGTAAGCATTCGAGCATGAACCGAAAATATTGGAAGCGGTACACACAAGAACTTAAAACACAGGGTATCTGATGAAGGATTTTTACCTGAATCAACGCTATAACTAAGAAGGAACAGGTAGCACTGCTTCCTCCTCGCCTAAAGACACAACATAAGGCTGAACTTTGAATGTCTCAGTAATTGTAAAACTGAGCTCGTAATTCACAGTCTTCGTCCCAAAGATGTTGAACCTTCTTGCGCTTTTGTAAGCTACCTCAGCATCAGCACCCTTCCCAAAAACTACTCTAGCCCGTTTCTTCTCCGTGTCAACCTCAGTCTGTGAATCCCTTATCGGTCCAAAATGTCTGAACATTTTACTCAGGCTCTTCTCAGGAGGTATTGTATCTGTTTCTGAAAAGTTCATTATAAGCTCAGCTGGTGCATTCTCATCAAAATCCGCCGGTTTGTCTGAGGCTGGAGTAAGAGGACTCATGATCTGTGACTGCCGTCTTCTGTATGGTCTGCGCGTTCTTTTAACTTGAGCAGGTTTCAACTCAACCGGCACAGCTTGATAGTTTTCCTTTTCAGTAGGTGGCGTTTGCTCTTCACCACCGTTATGGATCACCCTGTCAGTCCAGTACGTGTCACCCATTTCCTCAAACTCAAATGCTTCGGTTCCTCCTGCAGGAGAATTGGATGGTCTACCTCTTTTACTACTTGCCTTCTCTGGAATAAACTGCTGCGAAGCCGTTGACTTTCGGAAGTCTAAGAAAAAGGCATAAGCAGTTTCTGATACAACGTTCTCTTTATCAGGGCCTGTTGCTGCACAGTGAAGCTGGGATACAAAACTCTCAACAGAAAGAGTTTCATTACTACCCTTCAAAATTGAAGGAGACCCTGCCATCTGACTAGCAGCTCTGGCTATGCCTGCACCGATCTTAAAGGACGGCCTTTGGGCAGAAGACACTTTTGCTAATGAAACAGTCTTCCTGCCTTCACCGAGTGAATCCTCACTCAGGACATCCGCCTTTCGTTTCACACCATTTGTTTTAGTATCAGAGTCGGTTTCAACATCAACATAATCCGAGTCGTTGGGATTTTCCTCCATCGCTGTATCTTCCTTTTGGTTGGGATCGTTACTTGGAACTTCATGATTAGTGTCATCTTCCTCCCTCCTAGTATCTTGTTGATCTAATGCTTTCTCATCTGAGCTTTGATGATCCTTATCTTTAATTGCGTTAGAAGCCTCATTTTGACCCTCTATAGCAGCACTTGATGCTCCATTCGATTCCTTCTCAACACCTTCAGCACTTGAGCTTAGCTTCTCAGCGTTTACTGTAGCACCAACAGATTTAAGGGCTTCGTTGCAATCCTCGGTGGCAACTTTCTTATCCTCTTTCAAAGATACATTCCCTGTTTCAGCTTTATGGTCTTGTATATTACCTGACCAAGATGATACACCACTGAAATCAATGAAGCTGGTAATATCAGACCCTGGATCAAAGAGAGCATTATCATCCAACTGTTCAACTTCACCTGGAGCAGCATCTTCAGTTGAATTGTTTGGGTTCGCTCCGGTAAGATCACTTGCCATATCAGCAGCATTATCTTTCTCTTCATCAATTTCCATTTCCTTTACTAGATTGGATTCACTCCTGTCAGCTTCAGCTATTGGAACATCTTGCGTTTGAATCAGACTTGCACCAGCCGATTCATTGCCAGCATCATCCAAACCATCCTTTTCCACCGGCTCCTCTGCAGTAGAATCGATTTCCATGGCTTCTCCGTTTTCTTCTTTTTGGTTAACATTGGTTAATTCTTCTTCAGCAACAGATTCTGAATGGTTACCATCTTTGGTCTCAGATCCAACGTTCTCTTCATCAGCCTGTTTGCTATCAACATCCATCTTGTTATCAGCTGATTCCTTCTCATGGTCAAGCGTCTCACCATCAACTGGCCTTTGCTGGGACTTAATAGTTAATTCAGCTTCAGTAGAATCATCACCACTATCTCCAACTTCACACTTTCCCTTCTCATCACTCACTTCATTCCCAGCAGAGACTATAGTCTCCTCTCCTCCACCACTTTCACAACTTCCACCATTAACCAGCTTCACCTCAACACCACCTCCGTCACACTCCGCTTGACTTCTCTCAGCTTCAGGCTCTGTCAAAGCATCATCAGAGCTAACTATCTTGCCTGAACCTCCATCATTCTGGTTCTCAGAAACACCTGAATCCAAAACCTCTACAGTCTTGTCATCACCATCACAACCTAGGTATTCAATTTTTGAAGATCCCTCAACATTTAGGGTTTCATCAGTCACACTAACATCACAAACACCTGAACCCAAAACCTCTACAGTGTTAACATCATCCTCACAACCTAGGGTTCCAATTTTTGAAGATCCCTTACCAGTTTCCTCCTCTGTAGGCACTTTAGCATCACCAACAAGCTCAGTCCCCTCTCTCTGTTCCTCCATTGGAGTTATCTGGTTCAAAAAAAAAAAAAAACTAAAAATTACTAAAAATTCACAAATTTAGAAAGCTGAAACTTGGAAACTGAAATTGAGGAAAAGGGTATTCACAATATTCATAAAAGGTTAAAGATTTAACAACGGGAGAGCTGAAATCGACGGAAAGTTTACCTCTTTAGATCTTCCGCGAATTGGAGAAAAGGTAAGAGCTTTGGGTCTTAGTGTGGAGCAGAAGAAGAAGAGATCTGAGTGGTGAAGTCAAGGCCTCAAGGGTACAGAGAATTCTTCACTCGAGCGAGTTAGCAAACACCTGAACTGTGTATCTTTTTTTTTTTTTCCTTCGGGAAAAGGGAAACAGATTTGTAGATAATATAAATCTACTCTCCGTTGGCTTCTTCACGATTTCGGGTGATGATCCATTTCATCGACGGTATCGATCTCTCCACGTTGCAAATCTTTTTGTTCTCCTTAACATAAAAACCACGTTGATATAATTAACAAGGAAGGTGAATCTTTTTTAATCAATGTTCCTTTAAGTAAATTAAATTCGACAAACGCTTTAAGAGCATGTACATTGAAGGTTCATAAGGGATTCAGAAGGAGGATCAGACAGTTTTCTAGATGAACAGATCAGTGATGAACTTCTCTCTCCAAAAGTTTATCCCGGTGAAAAAAATTGACAAAAAAAAAATAATAAAATATTATAAAGATGAACCCCAAGAGGGGTTCATTGATGTAACTCGGCTGAATCATGTCACCCAAAGTATCCCTCAATCACTTGGCCGTACTAACCATTACAAATTTACACCACTGTCCTAAGAGCACCCACAACGGGTAAAAGGAGAAATCCTTAAGCCCAAGTCCTTAATGCTTTTTGATTAAAAAAATAATAGATGGGCTGGGTTTATGAAGGATTGATCCTTCAGGAAGAGGTTTTCCGTACCTAATCCTTAATGACGAGGCCAAGGTATTCTTGTCTCTCTTCTTCTTGTTTCTCTTAACAGATTTGTCCCTCCTCTTCCTCCTCCTCTCTTAAACTTCGTTCTCAAACATCATTGTCTTCTCCATCCATCTTTTTCGCCAAGACCAGTCTATGGATCAGAATATTTATAAGAGGAAACCTTCTCCAATCACCACCCATCTGATCCAAATCGGTCAATGGGTTTCGCCGAGGCAGGAGTTATCGATGGCAGAGATTACTCCAATGTTACTCCAATGTTACTACTGCCACCGGTACAGATTCTTACTGTTTGTGTTAGTCAAAGTTTAGATCTTTATTGCATAGTTATGTAAAAATTATAGTCTTTTTAGTTTAATTTATGTAACATCTTGTTCACTGGAGATTCATCTAATCTAAAGTTTGAATCTTTCTATAAAAAAACAGAGTCTTTATTGGTTTAATTTCTCCAAGATTGTCTAAGGTTGTTTTAGGTGAAAAAGTGTTCTTTTGTTTGGTCGTTAGCTTAAGCTGTCTGATTCTCAATTGTTTTGTAGATTCAAATGATTCCGATAGACTTCATGGAGGACTACTTGCAACAGGGTTTGATGAAGCTTCTTGCCTCAGTAGATACCAATTATCACTTTACCGCAAACCATCTCCTTACAAGCCATCTCCCTACCTCCTCTCCAAGCTTAGAAGCTACGAAACGCTACACAANTTAGCTTAAGCTGTCTGATTCTCAATTGTTTTGTAGATTCAAATGATTCCGATAGACTTCATGGAGGACTACTTGCAACAGGGTTTGATGAAGCTTCTTGCCTCAGTAGATACCAATTATCACTTTACCGCAAACCATCTCCTTACAAGCCATCTCCCTACCTCCTCTCCAAGCTTAGAAGCTACGAAACGCTACACAATCGTTTTGTCTCAAGTTTTGTAATCTGTGGCCATTCATAAGAAGAAGCATCTCATCAGTCTTATCCTATTTGTACTCTTCACTCTACGTTTGCCTACGAAAGCCGAAAGGTATAGCTATAAAATCTCTAGGAGTTACCTATTTAGGCTGCTTATGTTATGCGTAGATGTATTTGAATGCTGGAAGGTAGTTTGGCTCAGATCCTGGTTAGTTTTAATTTTGTGTATTGGATTCCCCTTGTTGAGTATCAACTACCATTTCTGTGCTATATGTTTATTATCCAGATCTTGTTGATTTTAGGATGGTAAGATGACTTAGAAAGTTAGTGTTCATGGAATCTGACTCCTTACCTATCTTTTTATACATCACGATAAAGGTTGTTCAGTTACTTGTTGCTTTGTAAATGATGGAACATTGAATAGTGGAACATGGCAGGATGATTCATGCATCTGGTTCTGGGTTAAGCTAGGTAGACTTTCTAGTTCTAGCACATGCCTCCTTTTGATGTCAAAGGAACTTAAGCTATAGTGGTGATTTACTGTTTCAGTTCTCGATTAAATCGTTGGTATTACAAGCATGTGTATAGAGGTGATGAATCTCATTTATGTCTTTGGTGTCAGGTATTGCAACATTCACAATGATGCTTCTCAGTCAATACGTATTCAATAAGTATGGTTGGAAAGTAGCTGCAAAAATCACCCCAACTGTTTTGTTATTGACTGGTGTCTCTTCTTCTCTCTGATACTGTTTGGTGTCCCATTCGCACCACTTGTTGCCAAGCTTGGCATGACTCCGTTACTCGCAGCTGTTTATGTTGGTGCTAAGTACAATTTGTTTCGAAGTATGGTATGGTATTAGTATCAAGGAGAGGTAACAAGTATGTGTTGTGATATTTAGTTTTTTATTTTTGGCAATTGTANTGGTGTCTCTTCTTCTCTCTGATACTGTTTGGTGTCCCATTCGCACCACTTGTTGCCAAGCTTGGCATGACTCCGTTACTCGCAGCTGTTTATGTTGGTGCTAAGTACAATTTGTTTCGAAGTATGGTATGGTATTAGTATCAAGGAGAGGTAACAAGTATGTGTTGTGATATTTAGTTTTTTATTTTTGGCAATTGTATTATTGACTCACATATTTAACAATTTTTTTTTTTCTTAAGGATTCCTAAATAGAGTCCACCATTGGACTGATCTTTTTGTTTAGAATCCTTAATTATTCAGTAAACACAAAAATTACTATTAAATTGCTTAAGGATTCCACAATGGAGTCCACCATTGTGGATGCTCTAACAACACTTATTTAGTAACAGCAAATCAGATGTGAGAACTATCTCTCTAGCCTCTACAATAACATTTACTCTACAACTCTGAAAAATTACATGATTTCTACTATTACAATGCCTGCCTAAATCTCTCTACCTTAAAGGTTACAAACACACAAGCACGAGCCTCCAAATTCCACTGATCTACTTCACAGTTTACTTCTCTTGATGCCTGCCCATTGTTTTCAATTTTCATTTTGTTTTGTTTTGTTTTGAGTCCAACATCAATATAGATAGCATAGAAGACTTCCATGTACGTTAGGAAGAACACAACAAGCAAAGACAGAGCATGATCATAATCATTTTGTTGTGATGCATAATGGATCTTAACTTCCAAGCTTGAATCTATACAAGGTTTCCATCATTTTGTTGTGATGTAGGGTCTTAGTTTCCGTACGTATTTATGCAGTTTTATTTTTCTATAGTTATTTTAATCAAATCTTTTGAAGATTAAAATTTGAAAGCCTAGAGAATGGTGAAAACTCTTATTTTCTATGCTTTGTTAAGTTTTCTCAATCCGATTAGCTAATCTTTAATGAACAGAGTGAAGAAAAGACTGACGAAAATACTTAGCTAACCCAATTAATATATAACTGGATCGTTAGAGTGACCTTAACTGTTTCAAAATAAACTATATTAGCTAGCTTTAATAATGAATAAATTATGAAATGTAAGGGAATTAGTTTTTAAAACGAAAGATTTTTATGTCTCTATCGTAAAAATAAAACATGATGAGATGGATAAATGAATAATCTTGGGTTACATCTTTTGATCAATAGCTTGCTCTAGCCTATCAACTTATGGCTTTCTTCATTATGTTATCTCCTCCTCCTCCAACTGTACCTATTCAACAACCAAAAGCAAATATTTATAATGTCAGTATGATCTATTTTCCGACACACGAAGATCTTTGCATGTAAGGTGCCTTTTGTTATTTATGAACTCATAAGCATCAGGATACAGCTAAATTATTACAGACACACGTGCTACATCAAGGCACCACGTGAAAAAAGCAGAGCCTAGCTAGCTGAGGATGGTTGATCCATGTGATACCACATCATGGGCACATGAGGCCACGGCTGACATATCAACAAATAACGTGACCAACTTGTGTATGCATGTGTGTGTATGTCTCATCAGATTTATTTTTGTGTAAATATACTAAAAGATGGATAGACAATTTACAAACTCTAGATGGATAAGAATTGGAACATTATATATGTAAAACACATGTGAAAATTCATTTTCTTTTTGCCAACAAGACATTTCTGCGGGTTTTAAATTTTTAATGAGCCAAATAGTAGTTATAAAGATGGATATTTTTTTCATAATCTAAAAAAAATACCTGACATGGGAGGAGTTGAAAAGGAAAGGGGTTTCGTATAAGAAGGCTGAGGAAAACCGATGGCGTGAGATTGATGATAAGGATAGACAGTGTGGAGAGGCATCATCGGGCTTGCACCAACCATTACTCGTCCTCCACCATACATGTGATGGTGTTGGTAATATTGTGGTTGTGGCAGTGGTAGCGATTGTGGTTGTGCATAGTACCCGTTCATATATGTACCTCCAACGTATCCAACTTTCTGCTCATAAAATAACATAACACATAAATTCATAAGTGTATAAATAATCATATATAGTCAAAGCATATACTATTTTTTTATTAGAAATCATAAGACTTACTTGATGATTGAAGGCCATGTTCGGGGAAACATAGGAGGAAGGGTACCTTTAATTTAGTTAAAAAACTGACTTAGTCATATACGTTATTAATTTAAACTAGGTGATTACCTGCGCGCATGCGCTAAGTGAAATTTGTATATTACAAATTGTTAAATACTAATTTTAATTTTTTAATAATTATGTCATAAGTTCCTAAATATATAATTACGGACCGTCAATATAAGATTGATGAGTAGTGTCATGTTTATGGTCAAAATGACAGACATGTAAATGAAATACAAAATTTAGGTTAGTATTTTAAATTGCTTCTCTATTAATAAGTAAGAGATTGTAGAAATCAAAATAGTTTACCCATAGAAAGGAACGGTCTGATGATGATGGTGTTGTTGATGTTGCTGGTGTGTGAATCCCGCAGGGTAGTACCATTGAGCTTGATTATTCCCCACATGTCCTGACGTGGGCCTACTCACGTGCTTAGATCCTTCACATCTCAAAACATCATATAATGATAACAATGTTAAGATCAATTTTACCCTTAATTCAAACTAAAAATGTTAAGATCAATTTTGAAAAATCATATGGTTTCTAAAAAAATTCAAGTGTCATAACTAAATGATGTTTCGATTCCAATCACAATCACATGATTCAATCCTAAGAATGTTTCTAACCTTGCTGAATTTGAATGAACATGAGCCTGCCTAAATCATTTTTTTTTTTTACTTTTGTTTCTTATACCATTGTCATATATATTTTAAACTAAATAATTGAAAGATATATTTTCTGCTAAACCAGTAACATAATGACTAGCATTAGATCATATACACAAATGCACCCTATAACGATTACCCGCATATGAATTTTCTATATGACGTTACCAATTTATAACCAATGTAATTATGTGTATATAGCTAAGTTATACACTTCCACTACAATCATTGATCAGTCTAGATGTCTTAAACGGAAACTCTTCCACATGTTATAATTAAACAAGGAAAGTTTTATATAATAAACTTTAGATGAGAGAACCTTGTTGAGGAGAGGCCACGGTGGGAGATCTACGAAGACGGCCACCGAGGGAGGCAAGATTGCAGTTTGCACGGCGGCCATTGATGATCGGAGTAGAGTCTTCACAAGCCTTCTTGGCGGCTTCAGCATCTTTGAAAGTCACCTTCACCAAAACAAGAATTCAAGAAAAAGAAAAAAAAAAAAGAGAAACTAAAGTGAGACAAAATCAAGAAGAGGAAGGAACATACAAAACCGTAGCCTTTGGAACGGTGAGTGAGTTTGTCGGATATAATGACTGCCTCCAAGATATCACCGTACTTGATGAAATGATCATGCATTGCTTCTTTGTTAGTGTCCCAAGCCAATCCTCCTACGAACACTTTGGTCAGCTTCGTGTCTCCAAAACATCCGTTCACGTTGTTGGTCGTTGTCATTGGATCGTGTGTATGATCTGAGAGAGAGAGGCCAGAGAAAGAGAGAGAAAGCTAGAAAGGAGAGTGAAATGGAATCATGTAAGAAGGGGGAATAATAAACAATAAAGAAATGGTGTAAAATAAAGAGTGACAGATTGGTGGACAGGTAAGTCTCAACGTGATCACTACACCCTTCTTATGTCTCTATTCACTCTTTTACTTATTATAATAAATAACATCAACAAATGTGGATGAACTGCCATGAGTTTGGACATTGTGTTGATTAACAGATCCAGTCTTGTGAATATGGGATAACCTAATGGTCACAGGCCATGCTTCTTGTTGGTCCATTGCATCATAGATTCATTTAGTCCTTGCTCTCTTTTGCTTCACAACCAAAGTCAAAGGTAAATAACAAATGTTAACATCAATTCAATGCTTAGAGCACGTCTATTAAGGGGTTTTTACGACGGGATTTTTAGTGAAATATAAGAACATATCTCTTAACTTTTAACTAAAAAAGTTAAGAAACGGTTTTTAATTTCGTTACTTAAAAGTTAAGAGACGAATTCTTATATTCCGTTAAGAACTCTCCAATGGAGATGGGCTTATGTACTAGTGTAGCGAAAGTGGGAAGCTTACACATTGATAGGGCTCTCTGATTTTGTCTGTAAAGATGAGACACACACACACAAGCTTCATGTACTAAAAGTTTGAGTTGATCTTTTTTGGTGTTCTATTAGTTATTCTACAGTTTTTTTTTTTTGAGAAAGTTATTCCGCATACTTTTTTTTGCTTTTTAATAATTTTGATTTTTAATGCATCCATGTCCCACGTTTACTTATATAGCTATTTAGTAGTTAGTAAACAATATTTATGAACTACTATTTTTTCCACTTAGTTATTATCAAAAAAAAATTCAATCATTTTAATGCTGCTTCTATTTGGTAACTAAAAATTAATATACATACAAAAAAAAATTAGCATTCATAAAGTTATATTGTCACTATATAGGTATCCTTTGTTTAGAATATATACATGAGTCTATATTTTAAAAATATTTATGAACTACTATTATTTCCACTGAGTTATTATCAAAAAAAATTCAATAATTTTAATGCTGCTTCTATTTGGTAACTAAAAACTCACATACATAAAGTTATATTGTCACTATATAGGTATTCTTTGTTTAGAATATATACATGAGTCTATATTTTAAATTTCAATTTAATAATTTATTAGCCTATATTAACTTTTCTAATTTAATTTATTAAATCCATGGTAAATTTATAATTATTTTGACCAAAAAATGTTATAATTATTATCAATAATTATAAATAGTAAATATTACAATTTATAAAACAAAACTGTTACCTGTCTACAGTTTTTAGCACATAATTTTTTGTTACAAATATTTGTTACATGACTTATTACTTTTCTTATAATTCAACATAACTCTAATTCAAGCCCTTTTTCAAAAAAAAAAAAAAAAAAAAACTCTAGTTCAACATGTCCCAATCACTAATCGGAGCCGTAGTAAATACTTCATTCGCTATATACACGAATCTCACAAGTTGCACACACATGTCACTACTACACACCAGCATCAACATACACATAAACTCAATACAAGGAGAGATAAGAGAAGACACTATTCTCCAGCTATCTTCTTGGCAAAAAGATAGAAAAAGTTTCTACTAGCTTAAACAAAATAAATCTCCCAAAGGTGAATGTTCAAAATGGAACAATGCAGCTCCGTTTCTTCATGATCATGATCTACTTTTCTTCATCCTTGCATCTCGCTGGTTCCGGAAGTGGCTGAGAAGCTGCAGTGCCTGCAAAGAACATTACTATTCAGATATCTAACGTCACAACAAGAAACCTGACTTAGTTTGTTATAGTCTTTATTACCTTCTCTTTTGCTCTCTGTGTACCAGACTGAGACAAGGCAACAAGTGGAGGTATAGCCCCTTCTTGCAAAACCAAAGTGCAAAACTCAGGACTATTCAGACACAACTGAAGCAGCACAGAAGCTGCATTCTCTTTCCCTCTCCCAGACCCTGAATCAACAATCTCAACAAGCAACGGAATCCCACCTTCCCTCACAATCCCTTGACGCCCTTCTCCAACTCCAGAAAGATTTGCAAGAAGCGCAACTGCTTTATCAACCATCTCCAAACCTGGATCTAACATCTCCACAAGATACTTAACCGCCTTAGCTTGCACAATACGAGCCTTGTTCTCATGAGTTATAGAGAGATTGAACAGAGCAGAAGCAGCATCTTTCTTTCCTCTCAATGTTCCCTTTCCAAGAAGACTCACCAGAGCATGTATCGCTGCGTTACACTGCCCTATTCTCTCCCTGTTGACTTGCAGAGCAGACAAACTGAACAATGTTGCTGCTGAGTTCTCTTTAGCTTTGTCGTTTCCTGTGTTCAAAACGTGAACAAGAGGTTCTATAGCTCCAGCTTCTCCAATCATGGCTTTGTTTACTTCACTAATAGAAAGATTCAAGAGAGCTGTGACTGCATGTTCTTGTGTTAACTTTTCTTCTGAGTATAGAAGTGAAAGCAGTGGAGTGATAGCACCACAACGCCCAATGTGCACACGATTCTCATCGCTGTTAATGGTGAGCTGACGTATCTCAGCTGCAGCAGCAGTCTTCTCTTGGTTAGATCCGTTTTTAAGATCTTCTACCAGTTTTAAGGTATGTGAACACTCATGAGTATTCGCTGCACTATACTCATTGTTAACGTTGCTTGACATCTCACTGTAGCTTTGGTGGTTCACTGGTAAACTCTGTGTCTCACTTGTCAGAGAAGGAACATAATCAACAGAAGAGACAACACTACAAACTGATTCACTCCTGCTATGAGTATAAGACTGTCCTTGAGAAGACACTTCAAAGATCTCACGGTCCTTGCTATGTGAATCACCACCGCATAAACTAGCAGGAACATTGATCTTCAGTTTCTCAAACCCATTTCCAGTTTCGCGAGATGATCTTGAGGTAAAACTACTGCTCCTTAAAGAGAAACGAAAACTCTCTGTGCGGTTAAAGTCATTAGAACCCATGTTATTAGCCATGGATGAATCATCACCACCATGATGACCAGAGTTAGCAGCCAGGCTGATACTGTTTGCCTCCAACCAACTTGCAATCATAGCCTTAACGGTGTGGTTGGGAATGAGTTCTTGATGAGACAGGACCTGCCTCGTCCTGGGACAAACAGCTAACCCGTTATCAAGCCACTTCTTGATAGATGTTTTGTCAAATGTCTGTCCTGAAGCTACTATCACCGGATCAACCATGAGTTCTGTAGACAAAGGACACCGGAAATAAGGAGGGACTGAGACACCTTTGGCCACTTCAAGAAACTCTGTCTTAAGCATGTGTTCACGGATGCAAGAGACAAGATCTATCAGTTGATCCATCCGTTCCATTTTTTCTGATGATTTGCTGGTCTGTGATCTTATCCTCTCCTTCTCCACAGCAATGCTTTCCTTTAAGAGATCCTTGTTTGATACCAATCCCATCATTTCAATAATGCAGTCAAGATCATCATTATTATCTGTCTGATTCTGTAAAGCATTCTTCATGTGTTCTGTTAATGTCCTCTCTTGCTTGAAACACTCAATCTCCTGCATACACCGCTGCAAAATTGTTCCTAGAGATTAATGCACTTTGCTGCACTCAGACTCAGAGATTAAAGCATGGTTCTAAAACTTGATTTATTTGATTCAAATAGGTTTAAACCATCCTAAATCCGTTTTAAATCAGTTTAAATCTGTTAAATTAAGCAATAATATTATAACAAATCCACAAACTGTTTAATTTCTCTTGTTTTGTAAATCTAATTTGAATAATTCATCAGAATAATTTTATAATAAAAGCCTAAAAAACATTGTATATAAATGTAGTAACTGTACATTACCTCAAGACCTTGTACGCTTGTAGTAACGGGACTTGACTGAGATAACTGAACAAGTATACGACTAATCTCCAGTGAATAAGTCTGTACCCTTTCCAACAAAAGCTCACAGTGAAACACCTACACAACATGTTCACTGAATAAAGCTGCAGAAAAGAATAAAAAACCTAGTTTAAATTCATTAAACTTACACCAAAGAGCTTGCTCAACTTTGGGGACCAGTCTTCTAAGAACTCACGAGCCTGGTTAACAACAGAGTCTAAGTCCTCACACGCACTGTTTAAGCAGTCATCATCTAGAGTTGTTTTGCAATCAACAACTTCATCTAGAAACGGTTTCAAGAGCTTCAACAAGTGAACCACGTTTCCAATACATGTTTGGATGGGACTGTATCTTATGGTCTGGCATGCAACCAGATGAAGATAACGAGATATGGAGTTAAGTAGACATCGAACAGGTACAGGATCCATTTAACTAATGAAGCTGAAAAAAAAAAAACAGAACATACATATCAACTTGCGGAAACATTCTATTTATATGAAGAAAAAGAAAAAAAGAAACTGTATTTTTAGCACAATGTTTCTGTAGGAATATCAAAAGCATTGACTTTGACCTATTTGTCTGAAAGACAGCACTTGACTAAATTCAAGTCACTACCTCAAACAGATGTTTCTACTTTCTACTTTCCTTTTTCCCTAATTTTAAACTATTTTTCAAAATGTATTTAAAAACACTCAAATTAGGACTGATTCTTCTGAATCTGATAAAATACCAAATCGATACCCTAAGAAGAATCGATAATTTAACCAAGTGTGAGGACCCATCACATAACAGAAACAAAACAGTGAAACCCAGAAGAAAGAAAACACAGAAACCCTAGCAGCTTATAACAAAAACAAATGCCAAATTCAAAGAAGAACAGAAAAGATGTAATTTTTATTTTTGTGTAAAAGGAAAAATGTAAGTTGGGGAATTACCAAAGCTTTCACAGGAACATAAGAGATCGTTGGAGCTTGCGGTGGAGCTAAAGAAGAGTTACCAAAATCATCTAAAGATTGGTTCTTTGCTTGCTTAGACAAAGAGAGGAGACAGAGGAGAGAGAGAGAGTTTATAAGACAGCGAAAGAGGGAACAGTAAGTGTTAAGTAATAGCGGGGGCCCCCAAGTTGGGTTCTGCAGGTAATCTCTCTATATTGCTTGTTGTGTTGTGTGGAGTTGGTAATTCTAAAAGCTGTCTTTTCTTTTTTTTTTCCATTTTTTAAAATTAAACAGCAATTAAAAATCATTACTTTTTACAACAATTGACATTTTGTTGCCTTGACCAAAGATTTAGACTAAAATTAAGATTTTTTTTATTTTTAAAAATTGGTTGGTGTTAAAAAAGGGGGACGAAGATTTTTATATTGTAGTCCTTGAGATTAGAAGGCAGTAACAATGGCTAATCTTTGTTCCGGTTTCTAATTTTGGGTTTATGTTACGGTGTTCTTTCCACCTCAATACTAGTTAAGAATTTGGGTTTATGTTAGGGCCGTATAAAACAAATTGATGGGTTAGGCCCAATTTATTGCTTTGGGCTCGTTATGGTTTTGTATCGAACAGAATTTATGTTTTATGTGTAACAACAAACTAGATTTTGACTGAGCATCCACATGGGTAGGGTTGGGCAAATAACCCAAATATTCGATTCGAGAAAAGTGAAACCATACCGATTCCCCGACATAAATACCGAATGGATATTATTTTATAGTATTTCGGATAATGGATATTATCCTAACCGAACCCGAAACAATATGAATATCCGATAGAACCCGAAACATTCAAAAATTTCAAAAAATAACATGTACCGAACATGGTCACAATTCTAATATGTATCCAAAATACTTTAAAATATTATTGAACATCTAAAATAATTATCTGGTACATGAAGGTTAATGGGAGAAGATGGCGGTTGAATCTTGAAAATTTTAGCTTTAGGTTTTGTTTTTATTTAATAGTGTTTTTTATTTCTTAAGAACTTGATTTTTGTTTTATTTTTTCATTTATTTAGTTTTTTCTATCAATAACTATGTTTACCTTTCATTTGATTTTGAATGATCATGTTTGATGTTCCTTTCTTATTTTTGAATCAATTTTACTTATGTTTTTGTTAAAAATTAAATGTAAATTAGGTATTTTAAATCAGAAGAACCAATTTTACTTATGTTTGGTTACAAAGTAGGCAAATCAGGTACTTTTAAACCAAAGAACCGATTGGGACCCGAATCCGAAAGTACAACGGGTTATACTGGTTCTTTAAATATTTACTAACCCCGATCTGAACCCGATAGAACCCAAACCGTTCCCGAACCAAATTTTCAAATAATTGGAATGGGGCTCTTTTTTATAAACCCAAAAAAGATTGGACAAAACCGACATCCGATTAGGACCCCGAATGTCCAGGCCTACGCACAGGTGTTTACTTTATCTTTAAATAAATATATATTTGTTGCAAGTAGACAATGTTATATTATTATTTTGTATTAAATACTTTTTTGATAACTATAATATGATATTACATATATTATTTTTTCAAAAATATGTTGCTATTTGTTTTCCATATCACTGTTATGTGTCATCATAATTAATCGTATTTTATACGTACCATCATATAAGTAATCATATAGTTAATAGTATTTTATATGTACCATTATATAAATAATCATATATATTAAATTCTAAAAACTTAATGTGAAATATAAAAACCATAATTTGAGTTGGCGTTTGAAATTGGGCTTTGTATTGTATTTTTTATATATATTTAAAATATTTGTTATAATGGTTATTGGAAAATATTTTTGTAAAAATCAATTTTAAATTAATAATTAATTTAAAATATGTATATAAATTTTAAATTTTCTTTAATGATTATTTTAGACAAAGGATGTTTGTCGATAATTAGATTGGATCATTTTGTATATTTTAAAACTGGCTCGGATATACAGTTTCTCATAGTACACTGGACTTCCAATTTTTCTTAATAACATAAACCCATAGCTTCGTTTTATTAATATACTACTATCTATGTTTCCAAACAACATTATATTTTCTTATTTAACTGCTAGAACTTGATCCGCGTGTGTGCGCGAAGTTAGTTTATATATATATATATATATATATATATATATATATATATATATATATATATATATGATCATTATATAGTTTTGATGTTTCACAATTTTGTAATGCAATTATATTGTAGATATTATTTTATTTTTATATAAATTTATATTTGCTTTTCCTTTTAAATATTCTACAATTATATATGTTCACCATATAATTAATTGCATATTATTATATTTACAAATCATGTTGTATGATGTAAATTTCATAATTTAATAATGTGTATATAATTAACAGATGTATCATATATTAATCTATTTATCATATTGGAATGTTTATTATTTAGGAAATAATAATATACAATAATTTTAACAATTTTATATTGACAAAACTTACATTACGTAAGTGAATTTTATGTTTTTACATAAATAAAGAAGAAATGTTTTTTTAATTATGAAATTTTACCATGCTATGCGCTTTTCAAGCACAAAATATGTTATCATGAATTCAATAATAACTTAACAAATATTGTATCAATCTAAAATAATTTGTGTATTTAATATATTACTACATTTAAATCAGTAGTTTTTAATTTGACCCGGATCCGTGGTCAAACCGGTTATCCCATCGATCCAATAATTTGGCTTAAATTATAAAGATATTCATATTTAAAATCAGTAAAAATCATTAAAATACATGACTAACTGATTGAACCGATGGATGACTGATATGTAATCCAATTTGATTTAAATTATATAGTTTCATAATTTGTAACCTTTTAATCCAAAATTTGAAGTTCATTATTTTGCAATTTTATGAAATTATTGATAGAGAAAATAATAGATATAAAATATTTAAGAACTATAAATATGTCTTGATCATATTATAGCTTATTTAATTTTAAAATAATTGCTTTGCGTAATTTATCTTGATAATTGTTTTCATATTATAATCAGTTTAAATTTGTTGTACAATTAATGTTAAGCATTTTTATTCAGATAATATATATTTTGAATATTTTGCATAATTATTTTATTATTATATTTATTATACAATATAGTTATTTTAAAACTATAGTGTGTGTATATATATATTATGTAATGGCTTGTATAAATTATTACGTTACTTTAATAAATGATTTAACCATTATTTATGAAATATAGACAAAATAATATGGTAAATTATTTGATTGAATTTTTGTTGTAGTATCTAAACCTGCAAAAATAAGTTTATATTTATTTTCTTGTTTTGATAATATTAATTGATTTTTGAATTACTTAATTTATCAAAATAATTTGAAAGAAATTTGTTAAAAATATTAAAAAATGAGATTTAATAGTTTATATTGTTTGGACACAAGATTAACTATAGTGTTGTTTGGAAATATGAATAGTAGTATAAAGAAATGATTTTAATGATGTAAAGTATTTTAATTAATAAATAGAAATATGTATCTAATTTAAAAACTTACAAAAGAAAAATTATGTTCAAAAGCAGGATTCTGTTTTAATAAGATAGATTTAAAACTTACGAAATAAATGTTATCTCCAAAAGTAGGATTCTATCTACGTACACGTTTTCTGGACCAGATCCTAAATCAGATTTTGGTGGGTGGAATCTACCTCCAACAAAAATCTCAGTTAATTGAAGTCTATATAAACACAAAAGTAAATGAGGTTTTATTTCTCAATCAGTTTAAAATTTGAAATTAACCATATGGCTGAAGAAAGCGATGCAGAATTGTGTTTAGCTCCACATGATCCACATGGGTCCTTAAGAAAAAGTTAACCGACTCTGATCTTAGTTATTATGGTAGTTTATATCTTCCTAAGAGAGTTTTTGAAACTTTTATAATTCCAGAGATGGACAATGTTATGGTCCAAAATTTGGAATCATCAAACGGTATAGAAGTGAAGCTTCATATTGTGAAGGAAGGTCATGAAGCTGATGATTACACATTAACATTAATGAAGAAAACCAGCTATTTTCTTATGGCAGGATGGAGCAATATCGCTAAAGCAAAAGGTTATAATACTGGCGATGAAATTGGACTCATGTGGGATAAAAACTCAACAAGATTTTTATTTCATCATATCAAGTAGTCTTTTATTAATTATCAGAGAAATGTTATAATAATTACTAAAAGGTTTTAGTTTACTATATTATAATTATTTTCATGTGGGTTTTATATGAGTCTTATATACATAAAATTGATGTTTTCTAAGTCTACCAATCATCATAAACTTTTATGTCTTAAGAATGATATTTATGCAACTTATGCATAAGTAAAATCTATACCAACAAATAAGTAAAAAGGAGCCCTAAATTAGAGCTTGATTGATGCATGCTAGATGTGTCACCATTTTGTACAGTTGTATTGTGGTTATTATTTTTCTTTTATATAAATTGCTATTTTCATCTAAAGTGTTCTAACTTTTATATTTCACCATATAATGAATTGCATATTATTATATTTTGCAAATCATGTTGTATGATGTAAATGTGATCATTTAATTATGTGTATATAACTGACAAATCATATATTTCTCATAATCTATTTATCATATTGAAATGTTTATGTTTAGAAAATAATAGTATGTAATAAATTTTAACCATTTTATATATACAATATCTATAATACACAAGTGAATTTTCTGTTCTTACATAAATAAAGAAGAAATGTTTTTTTTTAACTGTATGAAATATATTATCTCACTAAACAACATAATAATCATCATCTAAATAAAAATGAAACTATAATTATGATTGGGGCTGGGTTGTTACTTGTTATAAATATGATTTGGGCCAAAATAAGATACAATTTTAGTTAAAACTTTTTTAAAATTGTTATTCATGTTTCTAAATATATTTTTTTTATAATAATGTTATCCATGTTTCCAAATATTATTTTTAAAACTGATATCCATGTATCCAAACAATTTTCCTTGCTACTTCAATTTTAATAACACAGATTCTCCTTCTTTGTCTCAGTTTTAGTTGTGGAATGTGTTGGGCACTTGTTTATCACAAGGAGTGCCCCACCAAAGAGA